TGATTAGAGAATTTGTTGAGCCTTTTTTAACCCATGAGCAAAACACTTTCGAAATGCCGCTGTAGACTGAGATGTATCAGCAGGTATAGGCATGGGCCACCTCATTTGATGGCCTGAGTTCAGTACCTGGAACCTACATAGTGGAAGGAAGCAACAAACTTCTGCAAGATGTTCTTAGACCACACACACGTGCGCGCACACACACACACATACACACACACACACACACACGCACACAATTTAGAATTCTTTTATTCTTAAAAAATATATATCAAATTTGTTTTAATTTTGGAGAGCAGTTAAGCTTAAGTTCAGCTTTCAGCTTGGTGATGGCCCCAGCACAACTGCTTGTCAGAATTTATCTTCCATTACTTAAATGCAGTCCCTCATTGGGAGTCATGTAACGGGCATTATTTAACTAGGGGCTAATGCTTGATACTTTTATGATCCTTATCCAAACTGTGCAACTGAGGAAGAGATAAATGCATAAGGATTTTTAAAAATTGTTTAGTGGCAGAGCATACAGTAACAAAATTATAGAGGCTTAGGCACAGATGAAATTGTTCCAGCCGGGTGTGGGGAACAAGGAGCACACAGATGCAGGGACACTGATGGAGCCACCTGCATGTCCATTGAGTTTAAGCCCGTGTTCGCCACATTTCCTTCCTGCAAGAGATTTTTCTTTTATTTCAGTGCTAGGATGCTCAGCCTAAGCAGGCCTGGGCACTGTGGGGCTTTGCCTTTGCTCATAATCACTAAACAGTGTCATCAGTACAAGCCAAGGGCCCTAAGGATCTGAGTCTGGCAGCCATTGTAAACTGCCTTCTGGATGTCCATTTGTGTGAAGGGTTTTTAGGCTTGAACCTGATCCCCAAGCAGGTGCTACCTTTCGGCGAGAAGGTTCCTAGTTCTCTCTACGACGTGGAGCCACCTCTTTGTGTCTGGAACGTGACAGAGAGAAAAGAAAACAGTTTGGGTTTGATGGAAGCGTAGTTACAGGCAGTGGTGTTGGCCCAGACTGAGCTGCCGCTGCCGGATGAGGGGAGCGGAGAGGAAGAAACGGGGGCTCAGCTTCAGGCTCTGCCTGATTGTGTCCTTATTTCAGAGCGCCACCAACAGAAGCCATTTGTTGGGCTTGTCATTCCAGCTGTTGGGAAGAAGCTGTTGCCACCAAGTTCTCAGACAAGGAATAGCCACTAGATCTGAGGCGGCAGGACCCCAGGACTCACGTACCTAAAACGTGTGGCACTATGGTTTCAAAAGAAGGCAATCAACTTCTTCCTGTAGTCACCCACCCAAACCCCAAGACGCCATTGAGGTCTGGGGGGGTGTCGTACTCCTGGATTTCCTAGACTTCTTGTTCGCAGCCTGTCTTGTGAGGCTAAAGGTCAGGGACCGGCATACTCCAAATGGATGCAGTAAACCAGTTGGCAAGAATCTTAAGGGACTACGGTTATAGCTTATTATAGGCAAGGCACAGAAGGGGCCGGGAGCATACAGTGGCCAGCAATGCTTAAACATGAGATACCCTATCCTGTCCCCCCTCAACCTAGCACCCCAACCAACAGCGTCAGCTCCAACCGAAGTTGGCCTTTGTTAAGGGAAGTCACCCAGTTCCACAGACCAGGAACTGACTTTCTCAGAATGGCTGGCTGATAAGGGCTGTGCCACTTGCGACAGGTCATAAAAGCATGGGCTGGCTTCTGTATGTGCCCCTGTGGCTGCCTAAGGTAGCCAAGACTTCAGGAACGTCTGTGAAGATTCCTGTTCATTTCCTTGGCTCTCCAGGTGGAGGCAAGTTGGGGCACATGGGCCCCACCCCGGCCCATGTGCAATTAGCACTAATAGGGATTGATTAATTACGTCCGGGGCTCAAAGTCCTACTGGCCATAGTTGCCCAGCTTGCCGCCTTGTTGTCCCCACATGTCCCTGACAGGGGCCCTAGTGGCCCTTCTGTGAAGATAAGAAAGGGATCCCTGTGGCCCTACTGTGGCTCGAGTTGCGGTGTCCATGCTGGTGGGAGGGCCCCAGAAGGCTCCTGTCTACCGAACCGGAGTAGAGGTCCCTGGAGGCCCGGTGAGCCAAGGAACAAAGGTGTGGGAGGGTGTGGAGTCCCCGGAATGCCCCAACCCTCAGAGGGGATGTGGGGAAGGGAGGCTGGGCAGCCCTCGAGCTAAAATAGGAGTCAGGAGGCCCAGTGTCCCCAAAAATGGGTTGGGGGTGGATAGGAGTGGGTCCCAGGAGGACCAGCTACCTTCAAAGGAACCAGGAGAAAAGTTGATGACCCTGTAGCCTTTTGAACCAGAATCGGGTGGCAAGGCTCCAGGTTCCTTTAGCTCAGAGAGAAAGGAGGTAGCTGTGTATAGAGGAACCTTGGAGGTCAGTCAACCTAACCAGTGTGTGATATGGGGTGCAGGCAAGAAAGGCTGGCAGCCTGAAAAAGTTGCGGGTGAAAAAGAAGGGTGCTCTCCCCTCTACCCACTTCTCAGACTAGGTTCCCAGCAGCCAGCTGGTATGAGGACACACTGCTGGCAGGGCAGCCATGGCCTCGTGCAATCTGGGTGATTGCAGCAGGGGGCAAAGCCGGTTGTTGGCTAGCAAGCTCTCAGCCCCCCCCCCCCTCAGCTCTTGTGCCCAATACCAGGTCACCTACCACACTGTCACTGAGCCATGGGCATGAAGCATGTACTTGCTGTATGTGTCTGTATGTGCTCTGTTGTCAGAGGGAAACACAAGTAAGCTTATTAACAGCTTGACACACACCCTCCCCTCCAGCTCAGGGGGTGCCTGGGTGGCCTCAGCTCCTCACGCTGGAGCAACTATGGGCGGATCCTCTTCTAAAGCAAGGCGGCTTGAGTCTGACCTTCAAGAAAAGAGGCTGGTCAGCTGCTGTGTGGATCTTAGAAGCCATTGGTTTTATTCGAGAAGTCTGTTTGATCCCATTTCTAGTCTCCATTTTAAAACCCCTTTGTATTATCAACCTCCCTGGGAATAACGCCCTATTAAGTTACTACTATGGGCTGATCTGTGAAGGACTGTCTCACAGATAAGATTGCTGGGTATGCCTGCAGGTTCCTGACTGTGCACTTCCGCTGTCTGGTATTCGTGACAGCCAATGGGCACTGCAGACCCAGTGCGGCTCTTCTGGGTTCTTTAGTGACTCCCAGGTGTCACTCTGGAGCTAGCTGCCTTTAGCCCTAGATAGGGCTGTATTCCTGGCAGGCAAGCGGGCACGCCAGGCTCCCTTCAGTATCTATAGGGCAAACCTCTGCCAGGACCAGTGAGTGGCAACAGAAATGTTTTCTACTGTTTATGGCCAGGAGAATCACTCCCTCTGGGCTTAAGCAAGTTTGTCTTCTCTTAAAATGTTTTTTCTTCTGCCCTTCCTCCTGCCCTGTCCCGCTCCAACAATGCAGGAGGCTAGCCTAGGGCAGCTGGATGGGCCTGTGCCAGGCCTCCCCAGAGCAGCCGGTGTCTCTGGGGTATTTCTTCCACCCTAGACAGTCCTAACATCAGAAGAGAGCCCCATGCAGACCACTGCTGCGGTAGGAAGTGATTACCCCAAGAGAGATGAAGCCACGTGTCTGACGCTTCCAGATAAGAGATACTGAGTCACTGTGTTCCTGGGAGGCCCAGGCCCTGCACTGGGAGAGGTTGGGCCTCTGGAGTCTTTGAGACAGAGTCTGAGCAAAGTCAGGGAAGATACACACACACCCCAAAGTCACCTGCAGTACTCTGCTGACCGCTTAGTCTCCCGAACGAAGTCCCTGTAATCTGGGACGTTTGCTAGCGTACCCCTGGCACCCGAGGAAGTGGCAAGCCTCCATGTGGGAAGCAAACCCAGGTCCTTCACAACCACTGAGCCAACTCTCGGGCTCTCGCCTGTCCTTTCTATCAGAGCAAAATGAGACAAATTAAAATGGACTCTGTTCCTCTCCTTTCTCATATACTGCAGAAGTTCTGGGGAAAGACCTTCTTCACGGTCGGATCTGGCCAGTGAGACGGCTCAGCAGGCACCTCCCCTAAGCCTGACCTGAGTTAAACCCTCAAGACCCACATGGTGGGGGAAAGAACTGATCCCATTAGTGGTCCTGAGATCCACATGTTGCCCCGCCCCCAGTAGACACAAAAATTAGTAAATATAATAAAATTTGTTTAAATTTAAAAAAATAAGCAGTTTGGGGGCTGGGGAGTCGGCTCAGCAGTTACGATTACTTGCTGTTCTTCTAGATCATTGGTTCTCAACCTTCCTCATGCCCTGATCCTTTAATACAGTTCCTCATGTTGTGGTGACCCCAACCATAACATTTTTGTTGCTACTTCATAACCGTCACTTCCTACTGTTATGAATCATAATGTAAATAACTGATACATGACCCCTGTGAAAGGGTCCTTCGACCCCCAAAGGGGTTTCCATCCACAGGTTGAGAATCACTGTTCTGGAGGCTTCTCAGCCCCCACATGGCAACCATAATTCCAGTTCTAAGGGATCCAATTCCCTCTTCTGGCTTACTCAGGCACTGCATACGTGTGGTATATATACACATGCTGGAAAAACACTCATACACATAAAATAAACATGTTTTTTTAAAAAAATAAAAATTGGGTCAAGTGGCCCCCTCAGTCAAGCCCCCTCTCTGGTAGCCCTGCGGTGGTGGGAAGCTGGTCCTTGGGTGCTTCTGCAGAAGAAGCTTCGTGGTCGGTGGGTACCTCTGCGGGGGAAGCTCTGTAGTCTGTGGGTGCCTCTGTGGGGAAGCTCCGTAGTCTGTGGGTACCTCTTCAGGAGAAGCTTTGTGGTCCATGGATACCTCTATGGGGAAGCTCCATTGTCCATGGGTGCCTCTGCGAGGGAAGCTCCGTAGTCGGTGGGTACCTCTGCGGGGGAAGCTCCGTGATTGGTGGGTACCTCTACAGGGGAAGCTCCGTGGTCCGTGGGTGCCTCTGCCGTGAGAACACACCGCTTCAGTGTTCACTTTCTGTGTTTAATCTCTCTCTCCTAGATTTATTATAAAGTCATCAAGGACATTGAGCCTGGAGAAGAGCTGCTGGTGCATGTGAAGGAAGGTGCCTACTCCTTGGGTGTCGTGGCACCCAGCCTGGATGGTAAGAGCCTGCTGAGCTGTGGCCCTGAACCCCCACCCACCTGGGAGGACATGAGTGGTGTGCCGCCCCTGCCTGCCAGCAGGTCTTGCCAGCCAATGCCCTGGCTGAGCTTCTGCAGACCCCAGGTGTATGACTCAGGTCTCTCTCAGTGTGATAAAGGCCATGACCAAGAGCAATATGGGGAAGGAAGGTCTGATTTGGCATGTATATCCCAAGTCACTATCGCTGATAGGAGCAGAGGCAGAAACTGAAGGCGGGACCCTGGGAGCAGAGGCCGTGGAGGAGTACTGTTTACTGCCTTGCTCCCCATGGCTTGTTTATCCTGCTTTCTTATACAACCCAGACCACCTGCTCAGGGGTAGTACCACCCATGGTGGGCTGGACCCTCCCACATCAATCATTAACTTAAAAAATGCTCTACAGACTTGCCTGGGGGCCAGTCTGATGGAGGCATTTTCTCAATTGAGGTTTGCGCTTCCCAGACAACTCTGTTCTATAATAATAATAATAATAATAATAATAATAATAATAATAATAATATAAAACCAACCAGCACAACAGGCTACCAGTCCCTTACCCCTGAGACTAGAGACCCCTCCCTTTCATTGGGTCCTCAAAACACATCCTGAATGTAAGAGGGACATGAGGCAATGTAAGACAATTGGTATTATGGTGAATTATATCTATATAGTGTTGGTGACCAAGAAAATGAATTTTTGTGTATATATATATATATATATAATGTGTGTATGTTTATATACATATGTGCATACGTGTATGTGTACGTGTGTGGGTATATGTGTATGGGTATGTGATCTCATGTGTACTCATGCACATAGAGGCGTATGGTTGTTCTTGGGTGTTTTCCCTGCTCGCTCACCACTTTCCTGAGACAGGGTCTCTTGTGGAAACCAAAACTTCCAAGTTTGGCTAGTCTAGCTAACCAGCTTGGCCTGGGGACCACTGTCTCAACTTCCTGAGCACTGGGATTGCAAGAGACAGTCACCTCTACCTGGGTTTTACATGGGCTCTGGGGATTTGAACTCTGGTCTTTAAACTTGTGTGGCAAGTCTTTTATCCACTGAGACATCTCCGCAACCTCTGGGTGATGTTTCAAGCGTATTCCTCTTACCAGCTTTTTGTAGTAAATGACCCCAAACTAGTTGGTACTTGGGAGGCCAGGCAGAACCCAGAGCTCTTCTTTGTGAATGACTCCAGCCCGCATAGAAGGGGAGAGCAGCCAGGCTGCCTCTAAAAGTGATATCCACCAATAATTAAAAGCCCTGGAGAAACACAGGGGAGAAGCATGGGGTGCAAGCAAGCTGGGGGCGACAATGGAGCCACAATAGAATGAGTCCTTAAGCTCCTGATGCAAATAGGTACCCATCCGTTAGGATGAGTCCGCAGGTTCTCCCTCTTGCACCTCTGAGGTGAACTAGAGAGGAAGCCAGTTTCACACACTCTGCGTGTTCCAACCCACGGTTTATATCCCCTTGAGTCTATGTCTGTCTACTCGGGATCCTGGCACAGCTGCTTTCAGGGAGACTATGTCGGCAACGAAGAGTGAGTCTGTTGGCCCTCCATGGTCATTGATGACCAGGGAACTCAAGGGTTTGTGTCTAATTTCTTGTGGGGCATAGGAGGCATTTCTTGTGTTTTCCTGTGCGTACAGGGGAAGTGCATATGTGTGGGCATGCATGTAGAGGCCAGAGGTCAACCTTGGCTGTCATTCATCTGGTGCTGTCTACCTTGTTTTCAAGACGAGATCTCTTGCTAGCCTGGAGCTTGCGGTAGTTAGCCAAGGACTGGATGGCCAGCAAGCTGGGATTATTGACGACGACTACCATACCATACCAACGTGTCGTGGAGACCAACTCAGGGCCTGTGCTACGCAGCAGACATGTTTCTGGTTATCTTCCCAGCCCTCATGTCTTTCTTCTTTTTTAAGACTGAGCTACCAGTGAACAGAAAAAGAAATGTTCCCTAAATGTTTCTAGAATCTAGGATAAATCCATTCCCTTCTCTGTGAGGCCAGTGCCTTGGACTCTCTCAGGAAACACAAGGATTTCTCAATGATCCCCCACTGGATTTAGCAGAAGTCTCTGTGACCACACCTGTGGAACTCTGCCTCAGTTTCTCTATTGACCCTACAAGCCTGCCAGTGACCAGAGTGCCTCATTATTTTTTTCTGCAGCAATACATAGTTCTAAGTTGTCAGACAAGAAATTGGGGAAGAAGAACCATTTTACCAGACAAGGTCCTCTGTCTCCCTCGTCTAAATTTTGGTTTTAATTAAGCCATTGGGAAAGCAAAAAAAAAAAAAATGAATTGCCAAGACCTGTACAACAAGAGGCGGGGGAGGGGGGTCTTTTCCTTAAAATGACTGTTGAATGGACCTGTGAATCTTAAGCCGGATGAATCTTCTGAACTGAGAGGAGAATCCTCACCCACGCAGTTCCATTCGTGTGGTGAAATGTCTTTCTTCCAAAAAGATTTTTAAAAGCCTTGATTCTTGTTCTCCACACACACCTCCCACCCCGATATTAAATAACCCACTCTACATTTTCCTAATAACTGATCAAACATTTGTGAGCTAATTACGTTCCGCACATAATAGTCTGACATCAAATATTTGACTTTCCTAACCTCTGCTGTCAAGATCACTCCTTCGCCACCCCAGCAGCTGCCCCCCAACACACACCCTAGTTAAACTCAGAATTGCACAGAAGGAAAATGCAAACGCGTCCCTCACTCAGATAATTATCATAAAAAAAAATCTTTTATCCCAGCCCGGGCTAAATGCAGCCAGCCCCTTATCGCCACAGGAATTTGGAGTAGACTCTTGAGCGCTTTTGAGCCGGCGTTGTAGATTAGGATGCGGGTGCCGTGTAATTGTGAACCCCTCAGTCTCAAAGCCATTAAGCAGGGATTTATTTTGCTCTAACATTCCTGTTCAGCCGAGAAAGTTGATGATGGAACTTGAGCTAGACAAGGGAGGTGCGGGGTTGACAGGCAGGTGTTGCTGCAGTATAATTTGGTGGAAGGTTGATCTACCCCAGCCCAAGACCCCCACCACATTTAGATAGAGTGTCTTTCCAGTCTCTCTCTTGCGCTTTTGTGGGGGAGGGGTCTGGAGGTCTGGTGGGGGCCGTTGTGATGAGGAGGAAATGGAACCCTTGGTTTGGGTAGGGATCGGCATGGTTCCCCTGCACGGATACATCAGCTACAGAGTTGGAGCCCTGCATGGATTTGCCAACTCAGCATCCTCAGAGATGGCCAGAAGGACGGATGGTCTGGTCCACTCCTTAGTCAGGTGATTTTATAATGCTTTGATTAGTGGATGGAGGAGAAAGACTTCTCTTTTTCTCTTTCCCGAGAAGCACTTGCTCCGTGGAGAAAAGAAATCGTTTGCATTCAAACACTCTCTTCATTTGGAAAGCCCCTGGCAATCCACTTCGGCTCTCCACGAAGCGGCCCATGGTGTGGTGTGCACAGGAGAGACCCAGGCCGTGATGGGCTGTAATAGACATAATACCAGTATAACCTGCCCTTTCAACACTTCCTTAGATGGAATTATGTGTTCTGGGAAAATAAAAGTGGTGTGCGGTGTGCCCCAGGTGTGTGCCCAAGGCCGGCCCTCCCTGCCCAGAAGAATCTAAGAGGCTCTTCCAGCCCACTCACCGGGGCAGAGGCATGTCCCATCCCAAACTCTGTCCTTCTGCAGAGACAAGAGAAGTCCAGAAGACACATAGGGCAGAGGAGAAGGGTAATGCTGCCACCAAGGTCATTCCCATCCCTCCAGGTGACTTCTCAGTAAGAAGCAAGCTGAATTTCTCATTAAATCCCTACATTTAAGATTTTAAGCCCAAGGCCTGGTGCAGTGGCACATGACTTTAATTCAGCCCTCTTGGGGGCAAGGCAGGTGGATTTCTGTGAGTTCAAGGCCAGTATATCTACATAGAGAATTCTGAGCTACAGAATGAGACCCTGCCTTAAAAAATTTTTAATTTAATTTAAAAATAAAATCATTTTAAACCCAAATTTCAAATCAGAACTAGAAGTTTTGGCCAGCCAGTGGTGTGACCAGTGATGTCATGTTCCTCTTGAACTACAGGACTTTTCCTTTTTCAGTCTAGAACGAGCGTGATAAAAGTGAGCATTTTTTATTCCTGACTTTCTGTGATCTGCATATATCCATCCCCTTCCAGCCCCCACAAGCAGCTCTGTAGAACCACAGGGGACTCTGTGGTAGCATGTACCTAGTGTGCCCAGACACAGGATCCCTCCTGGTGGGGTTTTGACTCTGAAAACCAGAGTTGGTGTGAAGGGTAACGGGAATACCTCCAAATGCTAATAGTGTCTGACTGTCGGCCTCAATCCTCTGTGAGACGTCAGGGACCTGTACCCTGCATCTCATGCCCAAATAGTGAACAGTGCCCATCACAGCTGATCAGTGACAGAGGAGGAATGCAGGGCATCCCCTTGGGTGGAGGGTCTCGGCATGCTGCTTGCCCCAAAGAGTGCCCAGCGAGTCTCCACGTGGGCATTCAGGATATTCACAACTCACTGCTCCAAGAAGAGCCCCTCTTTGAATTGTAGTTAATTCCTTTTTTAGACATGGAAGGTAGTTACTCTTTGTGGGAATCACCTGTGCCTGCCTCCTCCGCACCCTATCCTGTGAGTCATGTGGTCCCACTCTGGCCCGTAAGGGGGAATTCAGGGCCTTCCCTGGAGATGTTATGGGTGGAGACCTCCAAGCCAAGGCAAGAATACAATCCTTGTTCCTTAGCACAGCACTGCCAGCACACACAGCACAGCACAGCACAGCACACCACAGCACAGCAGGTCTACATATAGGAAAGAACTCCACTGACCCAAAGGACCCACAGCACCTTCCTTCCATGGTCTCATTTTCCTCCCAAAAGAGGCTTGCTGTGTCGCTGAGGTAAGCCAGTGGGGCCAGGATGTCTGGACTCCGGAAATCAGTAGTGCCTGCCAGTCAGGCACATGTCCATTCCCTGACACCCAGGCACTTCCCTTTTCTCGGATATGACTAGCTGAGTGCGCTGGGGTCATAGTGGGCATCATTGCATGGGCTCGGCTGTGCATCTGATACCCAGCCCTGCAGAGTCCCACCTTGAATTCTGGGTACCCACTGTTAGGAGTACCAGGTACAGCTCAGGACAGATACTTGAATATCATCACCCCTACACTTCCACTCAGGAAAGCTTCTGGGCAGCAGGAGAGGGTCCCTGCTTAGGACTCCATGCTGTTCAGGGCATGGAGATGCTAACCATCTCCTGTAGGCTCAGAAACAGTCTGTGGCTATGGTAGTCTCTCTGGTGAGAGCTGGGGCCAGGAGCAACACTGCCTCTGCCCTGATCTAACTCCCAGCTTACTGCTGGATACCAATACACCTCCCTACACATTTACACATGCACACATACCCCTCACATGCAGCATTCATAGACACAGATACATTAGTATACAAATGCAAACCCCTATCAGGTGACCATTTACATGCAAACACGTACACACTTATTCACAACCGTGAACACAATGACACAAATCCACACACGTATACACAAATACCTTACACAATCATCCATGTCCACAGACGTATAGAACACATACACTCATGCACACGTAACTCACAAAAATACATACAAAGTCACATGAAGATCTTCATGAATACCTCCATGCTCATTTATGCGGACATACATAAATACATGTGTATTCAAATGTGAAAATATGCTAACACATCACACATGTAGCTATGAACATAATCATGTACCCATACTTACACATAGGTACACATATGTGCATATGCCCATTCACCAAAGTCTGGGTGCAGACGCATCCACACGTGGCTTTGCAAACATGAGTACTGATAGGATGGGACACTCACACAGACACAGTTGCATTAGCATACGTATCCACATGCAACTTCAGAGCGCACACAGACTGCACATGTTCATGCCCACGTGTGCACATAAGCCCTCTTTGTACAAGATCTGCGAGCAGGTGTTCTCTCTCCGGGCCTGGGTGAAAGCTGAAGGAGTTACAGCAGCAGGAAGGCGGGGCGGGGCGCAGAGACCCCGCCCCAGTTACAGCTCCGGGCTAATTGTTTGGTTTGGCACTGTGCTCGGGATGCTGCCTCATAAACTTAATAATAGCTGCCCCCCCTTTAATTTGTTTGACCTTGACGACAATAATTTATTATATGCGATGGAGTTCTGCCTTCTTTTTTCTCCTAATTCATAAACAAAGCACTTGGCCTGGCTTCCTTCTCCACTCAGAGGCAGGGCCTCCTTGGATCCACAGTGACCGCTAGGGATGCAGGGAGGAGCCTGAAACTGCTCAATGTTTCCACGGTGCCAGATGAGGTCCTCCAGCATGGCCTGGTCTGTCCTGTGACCTCTGCACCCCTGGGCAGCCAGGACAAGGGCTGGAAGGAAGCTGGGTAGGAGCAGCCAGGGTGGCTGGAAGCCCTGGGGCAATGGTCCCCTGCGGATCCAGGGCCCACTCACCTCCCCGCCCTTTGTCTTGCAGAGGACCCCACCTTCCGCTGTGAGGACTGTGATGAGCTCTTCCGGTGCAAGCTGGATCTGAGGCGCCACAAGAAGTATGCCTGCAGCTCTGCGGGGGCCCCACTCTACGAGGGTCTTGGGGAGGACCTCAAACCTGAGGGCCTCGGCGGGGGCAGCGATGGGCAAGCCCACGAGTGCAAGGACTGTGAGCGGATGTTCCCCAACAAATACAGGTGCGCCCCGCCCCGCCTCCCACTCCCTCCAGCTGGCGGTCCCTTGGTCTCCAGCCCACCTCCCTGTCAGTCTTGGACATTAGGGCTAGGAGACCAGGCCTCCTACCTGCTACCTCACTGCACTGGGAACAGAGTGGGTGCACGTGTGCACGTGGCTGGATGGAAGCTGCAGGTATTTTCTCACCGTAAAGGGCCTGGAACCAGCAGAAGGACCTAATGGGCCTGGTCTGTAGGCCACTGGCACCATTGCCCACACACAGCCTGAAAAATAGAGAGAGCACAGACCAGCGTGGTCTTGCCACTACCTGGCCCCAGTGATACTTTTGCAATAAGGCCCCAAACTGGGAGGTTCAGGGTGCAGCACCCGCTGTAGAAGGGATGTAGAGCAACCTTGCTCTGCAGACATACACGGCCCCTTTCAATGGACCCATGAAAGGATCATACAGGACTCCCATTCATGAGAATGCCCCCCTCAGATGACAGCCACCTACCTGCCAGAGAGGGACTCCAGAGGCATGGGCAAAGAGAGCTTCAAGCCCAGCTGAGTGACAGCCAGACCCAGACAGCTGGAGCAGGCCCAATCTGCCCGGACCAGTGTGAGGACCCAGGCACAGGAGGCCTTGGGTACCTATATAAACCCCTGGGACAAAAGAACATCCTGGGTTCTGGGTAGGGGAAGCGGGGACCTCTGGACCCAGTGCTAGGAGGTGTGGAGGAGTCTGAGAACTTTTCCAGCCTCAGAGGCCCTGCCTTTGAAGAGTTTGCTCAGGAACCTTGCAAAGTCAGAGCAAAACCCCATCAGGCTGCTAACGGGCTCTATGATTACTAGGGCTTTGCCACCAGTCCCATCACGGACTCCCTGGGGACAGCAGACCCTCCACCCTGAGCAGATGACTGAGAAAAAGCGTGTGGGCAAAACCCGCCTGAGCGCCTCGCAGAGAACAGGGCTGAGAGGAGGGTCCGTGTTTTCTTTACATAAACACATAAATCACAATTAACAACAGGGAAAAGATACAATCTCTGGGAGCTAGAGGAGCAGGCGTTTCTGCTCTAAACGGATGGCTGGGCCCCGTAATTAACGGGCCGTGATATATTACTGCTTTGCTCATGAAGATTAACGGTCATCCTGGGGACAGGAGAGGCAGAGTCCCCAGGGAGGAGGGGATTAGGGGTTGCTAGTGCAGCCAAGAGGAGCCGGCCCCCTCAAGCAGCTGTTCTCACCGCAGTGGTACAGCTCATCCATGACCCACTCCACCACTGCCCACCACTCCTTGATTGGTATTTGGTCAGTCAGCAAGGGATGACTTTAAATTTCATGGCCTCCGTCTTACTCTGGGACTTAATGGCAGCGTTGGTACCCTGAACCTTCCTTTAGGTTCAAGCTTAGTTTGTTTGTTTTGTTTTGTTTGTTTTATCCTTCAAGATATGGGCTAGCTGTGTGGTACAGGCTGGCATTGACCTCAAAAGTTTCCTGCCTCAGCCTCCTGGATGCTGGAATTAGAGTTCCAGCATCAGACACAAACTTAGCCCTAATGTTGGGATCATCTGACAAGGATCGCCTAGGCTTCCACCCTGCCCCTGGCTGGCTGGGGAATAGGGCAGCTTTGAGTCAAAGTGGCTCAGGCACTGACTTCTTCCTCTAAGATGAGTAGGCTTTCTGCCCTTATTCCCAGTGATCCCCAAAAGAGGAAGAGTATGGACCTGCTGCCTGCATGCACTCTGGTTCCCCTGCAGCATGATGGGGCCTCCCAGGGGCCACACACAGGAGAGCAAGCCATATGGGGTAGGGGACCTCCTCTTCCAGACAAATGGACCCTAGAGTGATCCCCCATCCTCTGTACACAGCTTGGAGCAACACATGATTGTCCACACGGAGGAGCGTGAGTACAAATGCGACCAGTGTCCCAAGGCCTTCAACTGGAAGTCCAACCTCATCCGCCACCAGATGTCTCACGACAGTGGCAAGCGTTTTGAATGTGAAAACTGCGTCAAGGTACGGGCACCACCCCGTAGAGCACGCCCTCGCCTGTAGGCTCTCCCTCCACCCCGTAGAGCACACACTCGCCTGTAGCTGCCTGTAGGCTCTCCCTGCACCCCACTGTGGAAAACTCCTGAGAGGCTGAGAGATGTGGTGTAGTGCATCAGATGCCCTGAGGTCATTTATGTCCTTGCTCACTACTGAGAAGGGTAGAAAGTCTCAAAGATAATGTCATCAAACAGCCCTGCAAAAAACAGAGCCAAGACCAGAGCTGACTCTTCTCGGGGGCAGCCCTGTGCCCCCTGCTGATGAGCAATGCTGAGGGTGACAGGGGTGAAGCCCCCAGACCCAAGACCACCCAGGCTAGTTCTCTAGAAAACACTTGAGTATTTTTGGAGCCTCAGAGTCAGAGCATTCTGAGGCCAGTGGCAGGGAAATCGAGGCCAGAAAAGGTTCTGCATCCCACTAAGGTTCTCTAGTAATCACTGCCACGTGAGACCTATATCAGCCATCTCAGCGCAGGGGCGACAAGGGAGAGCGTCAGGGCCCAGCCTTCAGACCCCTACTTCAGACCCCTAGGTTAATGGTGGCATGCATGCACCAACGGCATCTATTTCCCTAGGTGTTCACGGATCCCAGCAACCTCCAGCGTCACATCCGCTCACAGCACGTTGGTGCCCGGGCTCACGCCTGCCCTGACTGCGGCAAGACCTTTGCCACATCCTCCGGCCTCAAACAGCACAAACACATCCACAGCACGGTGAAGCCATTCATATGTGAGTTGCCCAGCCTGCCCCCGCCAGGCCCCCGCTGAGGACCCCCCTCTACCCAGAAACCTTTATAGCTGGTCCTAGTTGGGTACAAGGCATGTGACACCACGCCATTGCCTTGTTGACTGGCCTCCTCCAAGTTTAACAACACACCCTTCTCCCTTTCCGACATCCCATATCTTCCCACACCTCCAGATTTCCTTGCGGTAGCTGGAGGGGCATAGTAGGCAAAGGTGACTCTAATGATGAAGATTTCTGGAGAAGGGGCCAGTTGCCCTTCCTCCCTGTGTTCCCACCCTAGCAGAGCCCCAGCTGGACCTCTGAGTATGACTGTCCCCGATGACATATTCTGAGTACCATGTCTCCTAGGGAAGGGTCTGAATGTGACCATCCCTAGATGGCGTGTCCTGAGCATGGTGTTTCCTAAGGCTCTCCTTGCATCTGTGACCCTTTCTCCCTTTGTCTTTGGTCTGGCCCATCTCTAAACCCTTGCTTTGGCCAAGGATAGTCAACTAAAAAGAAATGCCCAGAAGTGGACAGGCAGGCCTTGTGAGCGTGCCAATGCAATCGGAATGACACACCTGTGCGAGATAAGTGTGATAAGTGTGACATATCACCATGTGCATCCTACAGACCATGGTGTGTGCTGGAGGGTGGAGGAAGCTTGGGAGGAAAACAGAAACCCAGGGGAGTCTAGTAATGTGGCGCTTCCAAGGAAGGATCTGTTACTTGGAGAAGAATCCCCAGTAACCAGGCACCGGCTACATATAAGCAAACTCTATGTCTGCCTGCCAAGTGAAACCTGGGTGTACAACCAATGTCTAGAAGCCCCCAAATCCTCACCTCACTGAGTACAGAGACCGGGATGGCATCTTTCTTATCAGGGAGCTCAGATGTGTATTTTGGGGGAGGGCAAAGCGAAAGGAGGGAAGAAGAGGGAAAAGTGTCTGGGTCACAGAAACATTCTCAGGATACTTTTCAAAAGGGAATCTTCGAAGGAGTTGTGTGCATGTGTAAGAGTGTACAGTATGGCTAGTAAGTTGGCACTATTACCCCTCCCCGGGTGTGAGTGAGTGTGTGTGTGTACACGTGTATGCATGCATTCATGCCTGTGCTTGTGTGCATCTACACACATGTCCCAGATTCATCAGCTCTGCTTCTCCTACCCAATACAATGTAGCAGTCAGCACTCAACCCATTCTGGAAGCTGCCACCTTCATTGGGTGGCTCTGACTGCCTGGCAGCCATTCTCAATGTCTAGAACCTGCCCTTGCTGGGACTGCCCAGGTGTCTGCAACCCATCTACCACAGAGTCCTCTTCCCCGGTTGTAGTAACAGGTAGGAACCAAGGGTCCCTCTGTCCCAGGAGGTCCCTGAGTGAGAGGAGGCTTGCTTATGATGATGGAAGGAGGTTATATCTAGGTACCACCAGGATCCCTTGGGGACTCAGGAACACAACAAGGGTGCTGCTTGTCTAGTCTGTCTAGGTAACCTGAGCTTGGGATCTGCCTTGTGGTTCCCTGTGGGAGACCAGGAATGAGGTGAGGCTATTTATAGACCATCTAAACATGGTACCTCTCCCAGAACAGTATCCCAAAAAGGGAAGATTTGATTAAATGAAGCAAAGTTTGACTCCTTTCAGCCAGAAAAATGTCCTGCCATGATGACCAGAAAGGCGGGGCAGCTAATATAAATAGATGTTGAGATTAAAATGTGAGATAGTCTCAGAGAAAAGACATCTCAGCTAAAGTGGCAGCTCAGGATTTGTAGAGAGAGAGCAAGAGACAGACTGCAATCACTGTTTCCACCATGCTGCGGAAAGCAGACTGTCCTGTGGGGAGAGTCACAGGGTGTGTGTGTGTGTGCGCATGTGTTTGTACATGTGCATGTGTGTGTGTGCGTGTCCCTGTCAGTGGAAAGAGAGAGAAGATTATAAGGGTTTAAGTGTGTGGAGGGATGTGCAACATACACACAGTGTGTGCACGCGTATGTTGTGCGTGTGTGTGTGCGTGTGTGTGTGTGTGCGTGTCCCTGTCAGTGGGAGGAGAGAGATGATTTTAGGGCTTTGAGTGTGTGGAGGGATGTGTACCATACACACATATACCTACTTTTTGTGGTAGAAAAGGAGAAAGACCGGTGAATGCTCCAGTTCCCAGGCCTCAGGAAGGTAGTTCTGTGGTCTTCTGAGCCTCTAGGCTAGACTGAGGTCCAGCTGGTGTTACCCTGTCCTGTAAGAGACCTGTCAGCTAGAGCAGACCCTGCTGGACCCCCAAACGGGGAGTTCCTGGCTAGGATGCTTTCCAAGTTTGAAAGCATGAGCCCAGCCCTTTAGTCTGAAAGTCACAGACAGAGCCTTCTGAGAACTGCTGGGGCATCCCCTCCTGAGATGCTGGTGGCAGGAACTGGGACAGAGATGGGAACAGAAAGCAAGTGGCATTTTAGACTAGGAAAAGGGGGCTGCTCCCTTGTAGAATCAGCCAACCAAGGTCACCGCCTTGAGACAGGTCATGTGGACGTTCTGAGCTAGCTACCTCCTAGTCCAATGAGACTAGGTGTTGTGTGTCCTTGCTCTACCCTCACCCAACCTGGACCGCAGTCTTCCCAGTGGCTTCCAAAGAGCACAGGGCAGGAATTACTATACTTCAGGGTGAGAATCAGGCATCAATAAAGATGCCATGCTTCTCACCACAGACAGCTAAGACACCATGGTCCCCTGGGCCAGGACCCCAGGGAAAAGGCACGGTGATCTTTGCCACCCTCCAGCCTGCATCTGTACCTGGGAGTCGTGGTGATCTCACACCGCATCTGTATTTGCCTCCTGTGGGTATTTTAGGTGAGGTCTGCCACAAGTCCTACACGCAGTTCTCCAACCTGTGCCGGCACAAGCGGATGCATGCCGACTGCCGAACTCAGATCAAGTGCAAGGACTGTGGGCAAATGTTCAGCACTACCTCCTCCCTCAACAAGCACCGGCGCTTCTGTGAGGGCAAGAACCATTACACGCCGGGCGGCATCTTCACCCCAGGCCTGCCCTTGACCCCCAGCCCCATGATGGACAAGACGAAACCCTCCCCCACCCTCAACCATGGGGGTCTAGGCTTCAGTGAGTACTTCCCCTCCAGACCTCACCCTGGGAGCCTACCCTTCTCAGCTGCCCCTCCGGCCTTCCCCACCCTCACGCCAGGGTTCCCAGGCATCTTTCCTCCATCCTTGTATCCACGACCGCCTCTGCTACCTCCCACGCCACTGCTCAAGAGCCCCCTGAACCATGCGCAGGACGCCAAGCTCCCCAGCCCGCTGGGAAACCCAGCCCTGCCCCTTGTCTCTGCGGTCAGCAACAGCAGCCAGGGTGCCACAGCGGCCACGGGGCCAGAGGAGAAATTCGACGGCCGGTTGGAAGATGCGTATGTCGAGAAGGTCAAAGCCAGGAGCCCTGACATGTCGGATGGCAGCGACTTTGAGGACATCAACACCACGACGGGGACAGACCTGGACACCACCACAGGCACAGGCTCAGACCTGGACAGTGACGTGGACAGTGACCGAGACAAGGGCAAGGACAAGGCCAAGTCATCTGAAAGCAAACCTGAGTTTGGGGGTGGATCAGTGCCCCCTGGGGCCATGAACAGTGTGGCCGAGGTGCCGGCCTTCTACTCCCAACACTCCTTCTTCCCGCCACCCGAGGAGCAACTGCTGACGGCCTCGGGAGCCGCCGGCGACTCCATCAAAGCCATTGCGTCCATTGCTGAGAAGTACTTCGGGCCTGGCTTCATGAGCATGCAGGAGAAGAAACTGGGCTCCCTACCCTACCACTCTGTGTTCCCCTTCCAGTTTCTGCCCAACTTCCCCCACTCCCTCTATCCCTTCACGGACCGAGCCCTCGCCCATAACTTGCTGGTCAAGGCTGAGCCAAAGTCACCCAGGGATGCCCTCAAGGTGGGTGGCCCCAGCGCAGAGTGCCCCTTCGACCTCACCACCAAACCAAAAGAGGCCAAGCCTGCCCTGCTCACACCTAAGGTCCCCCTGGTCCCCTCATCTGGTGAGGAGCAGCCTCTAGACTTGAGCATCGGCAGCAGGGCCCGGGCAAGCCAGAACGGAGGCAGCCGTGAACCGCGGAAGAACCATGTCTACGGTGAACGGAAGCCAGGGGTTGGCGAGGGGCTGGCTAAGGTCTGCCCAGCACAGCTGCCCCAGCAGCCATCCCTGCACTATGCCAAGCCCTCGCCCTTCTTCATGGATCCCATCTACAGGTATTAACATGGCCTGCCCTCACTCTCTCTCCCCAGGGGTCCACATCCATGGAGTCAGGCGGGGACTCTGTTTATCACTGTTTTTCTCTCAGCCTCCTAACTCGTGCATTCGTTGGCATCAGGGAGGTGCCTTAGTCCATGAGTGCCCCATGCTCCCTCAGGGGTAGACATCTAATCTACCTCGAGCCTCTCTGTTAGACCCATCCCCCATCAGCTGTCTTTCCAGGAACTAATCTCCACTTCCCGCGAGGGTCAGTGCACCCTCCTCTACCTCTGAGACCTTGCTCCGTCTCTCTGCAGCTCCGCTCTCCTGAGACTGCCCTGTGGCCCCACACTGCCCTAGAGCCATATTAGGGGGCCTCTGGTGGCCCAGAGCAAACCAAGGAGGTTGCTGGTCCTGGTAGGGCAGAATTCTTGCCTGTCTGGTTCCAATGAAGGGCAAGTTTGGATCCACTCCCTGACTTATGAAAAAGGCATTGAGCCACCCAAAGAAGCAGGTGGGCTTGCAGAACAGGGCCAGGCCCCATGTTTGGATCCCTAGCCCTGCCAGCATATGTCACCGACTTTGCCAGTTGAGGGAGTCACAGAGAGTAAGAAGTGGGTGATTCTAGGAAGAGGGTCATGCATTTGGCACTGACCCTGCTTTGTCAGGCATGTCTGTGCACATGTGTGAGCATGCATCCAGAGATATTCGGGGAACAGGCCTATGTGCCTATTGTCTCCTCGGGCTGGCCATGGCATGAGGACTGGGGATGGGCCCACAGCTCTAAGAGAGGCAAGCAGGTGATAAAGCTATGGGGAAATCCCAAGGGAAGCACACTGGACAGCTGCTACCCTGGGGGCATGGCCACCGAGGTCCACAGGTAGCTATTTACCAGGCCCCGGGCTGCACCTTCCCCGCCCGGCCATGCTTCTGTTTTCTGGCAGATCCTGGCTTCATAATCCCAGGAAACAAGAAAGATATCCATCAGGTGTTTCTTAGAAAATGTGCCTCCCACAGCTCGCATGAGGAAGTGCTGAGGCTCCAGAGAGGAAAGAGAGGAGGAAGTACTAGTCAGAACTTTACTAAGGCAGGAAGCAAGAGGCACCAACTGCCCCATGGGCTCATGCAGAACATAGCAGGTACTTAGAGACAGAGGCTCTGGCTAAACCCCATGGCTGGGGGAACTTTGTGTGAACCCCCTCCCGGCCTTTCCTGCTGCCCCTGCCCACCCCACCTACCAAACTGATTAGAGCCTCATATATTTTCTGTAAGCTGTAAGAAGTCCATGGTCAGTCTGAGAGGAGAGAATCATGGGAACTGACCACAGGAGCCCAGAGTCTCCCTTTATATCCTCATGTGGTCTCTTCTCGTAACGTCAGGAAGCTAGGCTGAGTGCTGGTCCTTCGGACCTAAGGTTGTGGCCACCGGCGGGACAGGACAAGCCTCTGCAGACGGATGAGCTCGGGGGAAGCAACAGCAGTGTTTTTCCACTGTGCAGGTCCTCTGCAAAACGGGTCCCGAGTGGGGGACAAACATGTGTTTTCAGAATCCCCACTAGGTGAAGGCACAAGAGACTGCTAGGCTCATCATCAAGGCCCTCCGCCTGCCGCTTGGGTCCCTTTCTCTGCCAGCGTCACCATCCCTAGATGGCTGAAAGGCTGAGTGCCTGTCGTGAGAGACCCCTCCCTGCAGCAGGCAGGCCTTAGACAACTCTTGCCAAGTGTCTTGGTATTTATTTCTACCCCTTCCCAAAGCCCTTCTTTGAACCAGCCTAGTTCTTGATTTCCTCACTGTCTCCTCTGGGGACCTAGAGCTGCAGAGCCTTTCTCCCTTACTGCCGTTCCCTGGAAGGCAAGGAAGTGAAGGCTCCAGCTGGTAGAAGGGGCAAAGTGAGGCCAGGTCAGGCCTCAGGTGGGATGCAAGTGAGCAACTTAGGAACAGCTCGTGCTGGTGTCTTTGCGGGGAAGGAGGGTCTGCGGGTTTGAACAAAACACCTCAGGGATTTCTACACCACCAATGCCTGAGATAGGGGTGCAGCTTTTGCTGGGGATTGCGGGGACAAAAGAAAGGACCTGGCCATCATGTGCCCCAAACCATGGAGATTTAATGTTTAACAAGCTGTCACTGACGCTTGAGGAAGATTCTAGAATGGCAATCTTCAGCACCCTTTGAGGGTTTTCAGGTACAGTCTGCCTGGCTGCTGTAGGGAGTCTCTGGTAACTTCTCCAGGACAGGAATCTGCCCTTCACAATTCTCAGGACAAAGAGGTGAAGGACACTGTGCCAGTGACCAGCAGGGACAGACTAGTTGAGGGGTCGGCAGCAAGCCCCTAGAGTAATGCGGAGTAACTTGTGGGTGTGCTGGAGACCCCGAGGGCAGCCCCACCACACAGGTATGACCAGTCAGTGGACGGGAGGCTGGTGCACATGGAACCTTCAGAGAACTCTATACTGCAGCACACAACGTTCTGTGAACACTCTGAGAGGATTCAGGGGAGCTCAGAGAAGATGGGGAGAGTGTGAAGGAACCAGTGAGTGGGTGGACCTAGGACAACTGGGGTGCTGGGGGACTCTGGGCAGTGGGCAGCTGCACCTTGTCCCCACTGCCCTCAAGGCCCACTGGAATTCATGTAGGGGTTATCTGGGCTGCCCTGTGGCCACCTCCACGGCAACCTCATGATCAGCGCGGCACAGGCACGTTATGGAGGACCAAGTGGCTTGGCGGGGTGGGGTATGTAACCCTCTGTGTTGCTGTCCAGCAGGGTAGAAAAGCGGAAGGTGACAGACCCTGTGGGCGTCCTGAAAGAGAAGTACCTGCGGCCGTCCCCACTACTGTTCCACCCCCAGGTAACAACCACAGTGGGCATCCGAGATGGGTGTCCTTAGACCCCACAAGAACAAGCTCTGGGCCTCAGGTTTCTGGTTCCCAGGAAGCAGAGGGGACTTTTTGCAGATCCTGTGGATCTCTGTGGAGCTGGAGAACATAGGGGAGGGGCAGTTCTCGGAGAGAAGCCCTCGGGGTTTGTCTAGGGGCCTCTTGCCCATGCTTGGAGCCCCATGCTTGCGAGAGCCCCAAGCCCTAGGAATACACCTGATTCAGGATGCCAAGAGGACCACAGTGCCAGACATAAGGAAACCCTGGGGCTGGTGTTCCTGGGCTGGGTGATACGTTAGCTTGCTTCAGTGGAAGGACCAGATAAAGGACAGTCGATGTGGAAAGAGGCAGGGACAAGACTGAGCAGAAAGGAGAGGAGCAGAGGGAACACAGAGGAAGCCAGACATTCGCAAGCAGCCCCATGGAAGCTTGGAACGCCCCGCATTCAGGAAGTGGAGTATAGACCCCTCCAGCCTGCGAATGTCCCTGCCTGTGCCCCCGGGCCACATGCTCCCCCACCTCCCAAGGGCACAGTCCAAGGGAAAGTCCTCTAAGTGTCCTGTCCTGTCGGCATCACAAGAGGTCTGTGGGCCGCAGGACTTAGCCCTTATGCCTCCCTTGCCACCAGCGAATCTTAACCCTGCTTAGAGCATTGTTCTTCCCCGAGCTTCCCGCCTTGGGTAAGCCCCAGTCTGTGAAACCTGCACCCTGGCTGAGTTCACAGCTAAACTTAGAGCTCCCATTGTTCCATCGGGCCTCAGAGTTTGGTTAATAGCTTCCCCCAATTTTCCCAGGGCCGACTGGAAAAAGTCGACAAGCCAGCCAGGCGCGTCCGGTGTTTGTGTTTGTGCTCGGAGCTCACGGGAATGTCTGATGGGGCAGAGCAGGCCAGGCAAGCAGGACCCACCCGACTTGAGGAAGAGAGGCCTGCGGGGGGCCGGCTGCCCATTGTCCCTTCTGCCCACTGCTCCCAAGGGCCTACCTTCTCTGCCTGCCCTTGTGGCCTAGAGCCAGGAGGAAGAGGCAGAAAAGAGATGACTTATGGTCACCAGTTAAATGATCTGATAGGCTGTCTGTCACTTAGACAGAAAGAACCTGGTAACCGTGGAAAGAAGGCTTCCACGCAACAGACATGACGACTGTCCAGGGACCTTAAATAACCTGTCCCTTCCAGTGCCCAGCCCCGTCATCCCCAAGCCCTTCTGGACCTGAGACTTGACATGCGGATGTGAAGCTGTTAGGGTGCTGGCAAAGTGGGCATGCCCCAAAGCAGCTCCTTGCCAAGCCTGGGGACCCTGGGGAATCTCTACGTTCATAGACGTCATCAAGACCTCTGGGGAGGTAGACAGCCATGGCTGTGCCGAGGACCTCGGTGTCACCCTGAGGATCCATCTTTCAGGCTTTGGGAAAGACTCTTGAGGGCCTGGGGCGGTGACCTAGACAGCAAGGCGGTTTCCGTCTGCCCACCAATGAGCATGAGCTGCAAAGATTGAGTGTGGCATTGAGGGTCGTGCGTTGGTCCCATCTCAACAGGCCAAAGCCCGAAATCTCTGTAGCCTATGCAGAGCTGTCCAATGACTACTCACCATTGTAGCTGGGCATGGTGTCCACTCAACTGCTTTCTATGGGTTTCTGTTACAGCCCTGCTGCTGTTTCCCCAGATGCCAAATGCCTCTGCATTATGAGGCTTCCAAGTAGCAGTTGTACAAAGCCCTCCATTCCCTGTTGGCAGTGCCCAGCAAACAGAGCCCACGAGGATGCTTTTGGGCAGTCCAACAAGGTGCCGAAGGGCTGAGTGACTGGAGCCATGCAAAAGGATCACAGCCCTGTGGCATGGTGCCTTTGCTCACTCACGGGCAGCTGGGTCCCAGATTCTGACATCACTGGACACTAGCACATCACAGGGGCCTAGCACTCAGCAGAGGCAGCTTTCATGAGTGAGGAACCTGGTGAGGAGGTCACACCTTCTCTCCTTGTTCACCCATGCTCCATTGGTGAGGGCTCTGGGGTTCTCATCCAGGCCTAGTCTCTCCCAGAATTCCCAGAACTTGGAGAGACTGCACCTTTTCCCTCTGTGCCCCCATCCGTACCTGCCCACCCTGTCTTCTTTTGTGTACCCTCACCAGCCCTGTTTCTGTGGTCTGCAAGGAGAAACTGGCCTCTGGGATAGATGTTTAGCAGAGGCATATAGACCAGGACACCTATTACACCTCGTGATGGCTCCCATGAAATTGTTCCATGAGTTCCTTTAACTCCTCTATTCGATTGGCTCCTGCCTTGTTCTCACATGGTTTCCATGGGACGAATAGGAGGGGCGCAGCCTTGCGACCAGTGCCCCCAACACCGAAGCCTTAAGTCTCAGTGGAGCTTGCATAGGCTGGAGTTTCAAATTCTGCCTGCCAGGTTGAAAGGACTGTAGCTCCAGTTCTAAAAAGGACAAGAACAGAGTAAGCTGTGGCCCTGCCTCCAGTGACCGTCTGAGGGTGATTGATATGATTAGACATAGGGACCCCAGGTGTCCACTCTCTGAAGACCAATGACAGCTAGGCTGAGTCCGTGATCTCTGCCTTCTCCATGCCTGCAGATGTCAGCCATAGAAACCATGACAGAGAAGCTGGAGAGCTTTGCAGCCATGAAGGCGGACTCAGGCAGCTCCCTGCAGCCCCTGCCTCACCACCCCTTCAACTTCCGGTCCCCACCCCCGACGCTCTCGGATCCCATCCTCAGGAAGGGCAAGGAGAGATACACGTGCAGGTGAGGCTCAGTATGCCCCTTTTGGTCACAGGGAAACTCGGTGAGTGTATTGGCCCACTGTCTGCTCCATGCCACCTGCTACACATGAGTAACATGGGTAGGGCTTAGAAGCTGTGCCGTATCATCTGAGCCCAACGTGCAATTTAGCCTCACCTGGCTGAGCTCAGAGGCCAGAGGAGCATGGCCATTCAGCATTCGCCAGAGCACTAGGAAGCATGGTGAGCCCAGGGCTGCAGTTTCTGCCGTTGGTCATGGTGTTGGAAAGACATGCTCCCAAGGCTCCCTTGCTGATCCCAGTCGCTATGGCCCCCAGTCTGAAGAAATGACGCCCGTCCCTCTGCTCTGTACTTTGTTGAGATGTCTGGACTAATGACATGACAGTTCCTACCACCAGCTATGAGGCCTCTGAGCTGGACTCAGAGGAGAAATATGGAAACGCGCAGTGTGGACCACCCTAATGGCTCTCCCACCACTCTTCCCTCTGCCTCAGGTACTGTGGCAAGATCTTCCCCAGATCTGCGAATCTCACAAGACATCTGAGGACACATACTGGGGAGCAGCCATACAGGTAGGAACCACCTAGTGTTAGTATGGGGAGTCCCTATTTGCTTCCATACATCCTTAGTTCCCTGCCTCCGAGCAAACACCTACATTCAGATACACCCACAGGGCTGTGGTCACCAGTGGGTCAGTGGGACAGAAACCACAGTGCTCAGTGTGTCTGCCTCAATCTCCCGGTCCACCACCCTCTAACTCTCTGGAATAGTATAATGAGGCAGGGAGTGCCCAGGAAATTTCTAGAAGGCTCCTTCCATGCTCCCAAAAGAAGATGTAAAAGAACCTTTCTCCTCCTGTAGCTAGAGTGTCAACCAGGGCAGACAATCAAACTCAGAGAGAGATGTGACTTGTAGCTGGATTCTCCACAGGTCCCTGGGGGACCCTTAGGCAGCCAGTCCCATCCAATCCTGTCCTTGACATAACGACCGTAGCCACCTCCTCCCCAAGTATGATCTCTTAACAAAAATGGGGTGCCCTTGGTTCCCTGCAGCAGCCCTGAGTGGGAAGCCACACATGTGTTGCTGAAGTAGAGAGTGGACCACTCTGTATCTCAGGAATCTGAGAGTCTCTGAGTAACAGAGCCGCCTCCCAGTGGATCTTACTATCCCTGCATCAAAGCTGAGGGGTGTCAGCTTAGAGATGTCCTGAGGTTCTCCAAGGGGTGGAACTGAGGGCAACTTTTGCCTGCTCTTCCAGCCCCAGGTGCCTGTCATTTGTGTCCTTGAGCCTTTGTTTTTGCACCAAGAAGGGCTGAGGATGCCGCCGTTCCTTGCCCCGTGCTCCCAGTCAGGGAGTGGGCTTTTTAAACAGAACTCAGGCAATTGTCACCCTGAGACAAACAGGGAAATGGCCACTTCTCTGCCAGGACCAGTTTAGCAACACGTTCTGGGGTGTGTCTAGCCAGCTGAGGCTTTGGGAAAGAAAGAGTCTAGCTTGGTTTAAGACCGATGGCATTAGATTCCTGTGCTGTGCCCATGCGGTGCTTGTCACCAGGGAGTAGCTGTGGGGACTCGGTCTGTGTGCCCTTCCCCGCGGCAGGCATCCCACGTGGGCGTGCATGTGTTCTGATCCCCAAACCCTACTCAGGTTTACAGAGCATCCCTGGTGGCCACAGGCCCACATCTGTGCTAACGGAGTGTACGACAGCTCTTTCTAGCTCTGCGTCCCGTGCCTCCCAGCCCTCCCCGACACATTCCCCCCACCCCCACCCCCCCACTGTCTGCTCTCTGAAAATAGTGACTTACAACTTAACAAAGGCGAGCAACAGAAAGATTTATTTGGTCTGGTCCTCGCCCAGAAAACGAGCCCCGTGTTTTTTCTGTAATGAGAGCCGACTCCTGGACAGTGTGTCGTGCTAAGAGCCCCTAGAGGGTAGGGGCCGTGTTTATAGAAGAATTTAATTATCATTGATTTCTTTTGCTCTCTCCAATCTGAGCGGTTCGACTTTGGTAACAATAATTGCTTTGCAAGTTTGTGTTGCAAATCCTGACTTTATCTGGCTCGAGGCAGGCCTTCGCCGAGGGGTTTAAAGCGTGCAGCTTGTCTCTTCATACGACCGGGGACCTTGGTCTTGCTCTGATAACTGGAGAGAGTTTTAACTTGTGGCTGGAGGGAGCATAGCCCATCCTAGAAGTCCACTGCACAAGGCAAAGGCCTGGCAAGGGCGCTTGACCCACGTGTGACACTCACTTCACTGTCAGCACATGTGTGCATGGTCACTGTGTGTTCACATGTGGGTGTATTCACCCTCCAGAGTCTGAGACCTTCCAGAGAAGGATGAAGAAGGTCGCCTTGGGTGATGAGGAAGCCCTCGGAAATACGTCTGTGTGCCCTGACACGCCTCTGCTTTCCCCAGGGCCGCTTTCCCGCACACTCCAGCCAGGAAGCAGTCCTTAGCATGCAGCTTCTCCTGGCTTTGAAATCTTTGCCTGAAACTGGAGAACACATAATTAATGACACTCTCACATTTTAAAATTCCAGCATGTAGACTTTACAGAACCTGGGTTGCAGAGGTGGAAAGATCTGATCTACCGGGGTGGGGGAGGGACAGAGGAGAGATGCTCTTGCAAGCATGAGAACGGCACCCACATAGAAGCTGAGCATGGCAGTGTGTCCCTTAGCCTCACTGCTACCTGGGCAGAGACAGGACGCTCCCATTCTAGTGAGGTCCAGGTTCAATGAGAGACCCTCAAGAAATACAGTAAAAAAAAAAAAAAATAGAAGACACCCTGTGTCAACCTATGGCCTCCACACAAGTGTGCACTCACATGCATATATATATATATATATATATATGCACACACACATGAACATGTATACACATATGCACCCACACATGTATAACTTTTTAATTAAAATCTTTAAAATGGAAAAGTTGAGCTGAGGAATAAAGGGCTGTACCTCAGGACACTTCCTTCCAACCTTGATGTAGAGGCTCCTCTGGCTGCCAGGCATAGCCTGCAGCATACTTGGGCGCAGGCCTTCCTGGATCAACCTGGAACTCCTGATCGGGCCTGTGACTCCCGCTATGTGGATGCACACCTCCCAGTATGCAGCTGTGTTGCCTTCGTTTCCTTCCCAGCTCCTGTTCCGTGTCCTGTGTTAGAAAAGCCGACAGTGTCCGGCGGGGCTGCAGGTGGCTCCTGCAAGTCCTCTTTCTTATTTATTTTTATTCTTAGAACATTTTTTATCTCTTTTTTCCTTTTCTGGCCTCACTTTTAAAATGATGAAGCCGTGATGGCTGGCGGTAGCCCTCCTATGTCTCAAGAAAGATGCTGGTGCCTGGAGGCCGAGAGGCAGGGCTTCACCCTCTCCTGTCTTACGCATCCAGGGCCACAGGCACGGTCACAGCAAGGTCCTCCCAGAGCTCTCTGCTGGGCCTCTTGTGCCCTCTCATTTCTGTGAGCACAATGGCGTGTTGCTTTATGCAACACGGCTGTAAATTTCCCGAGCCGTCTGTCGGCTTATTCACAGTGCAGAGCCCAGCTGCTGGGTGAACTCTGCTCCCTCACGGCCGTGGGCTCTCTGCTCCCCTAAATTTCAAGTGGACGTCTCAGCCTGGGGCCGTTTATTTAGATTAGAACAAGGAGAGGCTACATCCAGAACGCTGCAAGCAGACAGAACGCACAGCCCATCCCGGCTCCAGAGCCTCCCTCCCCCGACATCCTCTCTCCGTCTCACTTCATCCCCAGCAGTCCCGTGCTTAGGAGTCTATGCCAGAGCTGGGGTAAGGGGTGCGCGAGGGGACCTGTCAAAGTGTCTCTGCATTTCCTGAGGAACCAAAAAAAAAAATGAACTTTGTGATATGCTTCAGACAGACAAGCATACAGGGGCTGCCTGGCTGACCTGTGGCATCTGCAGAGAACTCTCTTCCTAATGGAGAGAATTCCCAGTCCCATGGGCAGCTTGACTTTGGCTTTACTCTGCAGATGCAAATCAAGTTTTCCATTCCTGAGAGATCACCCCCAAAGAGCAGGAAGACCGGGCCTGGCTCCATCAAGGTGTCTGTGTGTTTTAGGGTGTGTGCGGGGAGCACAGGTGAGAGGTGAAATTCCTTCTGAACTGTTGCATCTGTCGGAGGTTGCAGAGTGTGGAGGACTGAGGTCTGTTGCTGATCAGGCTAAGAAAACCAGCAGAGATACCTCCAGGGCATACTTTGCAGGTGGTCTCATGAGTCAGGCTCCTTCCCAGGCTGTGGGAAGAAATGCTGCCACCAAGGACACCCACGTGCCCTAGAGGCCACTCGGCAACCAAAGATAGGAGAGGTCCTAACCTGGGCTTCAGAGGAAGGGCTGGCTCCTGAAGAGCCTGGCAAGGCAGCTGAAAGTATAAAAGGAGCCAGGGGAGCCTGGCCTCGGGAGGGCTGGAGGCTGAAGGTACTGAATAAGTGAGCTGTGAAGAGCCGTACAAGGGCTCAGGGCTGGGGGTGTCAGTTGTGGCCAAGTCTATAGGAAGAGCCTGGGCAAGAGAAGGGGCCCCTCTCAGAGCAGCCTCCCCTTCTCTAGGACCTTCACCTCCCTAGGTTTTATCTGGCAGCCAGAGACCAGAGGACTTGCAGGCTCTAAGAGTCCAAGGGCAAAGTTAATAACTGCAACCCTGAAGGGTTCTAACCTCATCAGGAACAGAAACACAGGCAGACACACCCTGTCATAGCACATGGTCAGGCCCATCAGACACCCTGGGCAGGGGCCCACACAAGCCACCCAGACCTCCAATCTTCATCTCTGGGCCTGGCCCCTCCTCTACTGGACAGCAGAAGGCTATAAAAGCAGCTTCTGATACAGCCCCTCCTGGCTGTCCCTGGTGTCCTCGGGCATGTCCTCAACCACATGACAAAGGCTCGTGACCAGAGTGCTACTCCAGAGCAGGCCACCAGCCCTGAACCGCAGTGACGGCGGGGCCCGTAGGAATGCAAGCCTGCCGTATTTAGAACTGTCACGCATCCCCGTGGGTGAAGAAAAGCCCCCCATCTTTGTCCTCACTGAGGCTGACATCATAGGTTCTGGCTCCACTAAAGAGGGCGGCCTGTCTCATGATGCCGGCCCTGGAGATCTTGGGTATTGCACTGTCACCTAACAGGACTCATTTCCAAAATATGAACATATACAGTCACACAAACATAGTTTTCAAGTGCTGTGTGCCTCTAAGATCCAGATAAGTACCCAAAAGTCATTGTGATGGCCAGTTTCACAGGTGTTTGCTCATATACCTGAGCACACACATGCACTTGCTTGTGCACGCGTGCGCACACACACACACACACACACACATTGCATGCACATATATGCAATAAAAAGCGTGGCATCAGGATTGCTGCTGTAGGGTCTACCCATGTGGACAGGCCCTCAGGAAGAAGCTGTCAGACACCCCACACCTCAGACTTCCCACAAAGCAGACATTGCTCCTTTCCGAGGTAGCTCACATGTGCTGCAGAGCTTGGAAGGTCCCTTCTTACATCACTTGCCACTCTTTGTTCTGGGCTTGGCTTCTTTGTTGTGGGCATTGCTTGGGCCTGTTATAAAAAGGGGGAGAACAGGCCTCCGTTCCCTGCTGTCAGGGCCACAGAGGCCACACCTGAGGGCACACGCACGGCGGACATCCCTCACTGCCGGTGGCCGCTAACTACATCATGATTTCTGATCAAATGTGTGCTAGCTGCTGGGATTGCTTTTCCAGTTTGAGTGCTTGGTAAACCTAGTGGGGGCGTGACAATAACCTGAGCCCAAGGAGATGGTGTCTTGAAGGGCTCAGTCGGGCTACTAGCTGGCCTCAGCATCAAAGCCACAAGGCCAAAAGTCCCCACCTAACCTTCAGGGCTGCTGAGAACGTTAGATAGTCACACTGAGTCCCTAAGTGAGATGGGGCTTGGCTAAGTCTTCAGTCAGAGGAGCCGGAGCCAGGCCTCCCTGTGAAGATATTCAGCCTTCCCATCTCAGGGTAACCTGCCAGCCTCTTCTGCCTCTTTCCATGTTTCAAGGCTGCCCTCTTGAGGCTGACCGGAGAATGTCATCTCACACTGTGTCCCTTGGCTTCTTACTCCTTTCACTAGCTGGGGCAATTTAAACAGAGCATAGACGTCTCTAGAGACAGCCACCCTAGGATACATCTGAACTCTCCAGCTGGGTAGCCAGGTGGCCTCAGGGGCTCCACAATGGCTACAACTGCCGTAGAGACAGAGGTCTGGGCCCTGTCCCGCCACACGTGATCTCCTCTCCTCTGAGGCAAGGTGCACCTGTTTTCCAGGTGCAAGTACTGTGACCGGTCGTTCAGCATCTCCTCCAACCTCCAGCGGCACGTGAGGAACATCCACAACAAAGAGAAGCCGTTCAAATGCCACCTGTGCAACCGCTGCTTCGGGCAGCAGACCAACCTGGACCGGCATCTGAAGAAACACGAGCATGAAGGTGCACCAGGTTGGTGGAGGATGGGCAAAGCAAGAGCGCTGGCAGGGAAGGGGCTGTGGGCAACTCCACCCCTCAGACTCTCTAAGAGACAGTTTCCTGAGACCACCTCACGCGCACACTGGCACGGGAGGCTGGAGGTACCCAGAATGCCCCTGACACTCAACCCTTCCACAGTGAGCCAGCACTCTGGGGTTCTCACCAACCACCTGGGCACCAGCGCCTCCTCCCCCACCTCCGAGTCGGACAACCATGCACTTTTAGATGAGAAGGAGGATTCCTACTTCTCCGAGATCCGAAACTTCATCGCCAACAGTGAGATGAACCAGGCCTCTACTCGGATGGACAAACGGTAAGAAAAGCAAGCCAGCGGGGTCTAGACTCACCCGCTCCGATGGTCTTGCTTAGGGTGCATGCATCCCTAGCCCCTGGGAAGTTCTAGGCCCCACATGGAAGAGGCCTCAGGTTCTATTACTAGAAACAATAAGAGCCCCACAGTCCCTGTGTGTGTTCTTGTCACAGCATCTACACTAAGGGGGGGGATGAAGGGAGAGAACACCTGTGAGTTAATGGACGTTAACTCAGGCCAGGTGGCAACCACATCGTGTGCTTCATCCAGCCTCTTGTCGCCAGATAGAAATGCTTCCCCTGAAAATACGCATATGGAGAGAGAGGCAGAGAGACAGAGAGAGAGAGAGAGAGAGAGAGAGAGAGAGAGAGAGAGAGAGAGATCAACTTACAGTGAGGCTATCTGATGAAAACCCCATAAAGTAAAAAGATTATTATTCAGTGATGCATTTAATAGACCTAAGCCACCAAACACAGCTCAACAAGCCCACCCCCTGCCCCCTGCTCCATGACACTCAGAAAACACACTGTAGGCTGCTACACAGACCACCTAGCATGGAGCCTAGTCTGTAATAAAGACACAAACAACTCGTGTGACTGACCAAAACCCCACCCACGTCTAAAAACACTGATGGTACAGTGTGCCGTGGAGTGCTGGCTGCTTCCCTCTATCCTCGGGCTGCCTGGGAGCCCTGCCCAGCGTCTCATGGGCATACTGTACCTGTGCACAGCACAGCATGGGGAAGGTCCTTCATGTCCTCTTCACACTACTGTAAAATTAGAAACCTTTGTAAGTCGGAGGTGATTTGTACACACACACACATGCACACATGGACATATTTACCACATGTGGATGCACACACACACACACATGGATGTGTGCAAGTAGGAGCACATATATGTCTGGTTCTGTGTGTGTGTGTGTGTGTGTATGGATATGGATATATGTACTCAGGTATAAACTTGCACATAAACACACAGAAATTCAGAATTCAGCCAGGCTCTGGAAGTGTTCTCTGAAACCTCACATTCAGGCTCCAGTGTGCCCTTTATTCGGGAACTCTCCCTTCTGCATGAACCCCTCTGTACCCCAGAAAACTGATCAGAGAAGTCACCGAGAAACAGAAGTTCTATACACCCCAAGAAACCTCGGCATGGGATCTCCAGTTCTGAAGAGGAGAACCAGAGGCCCATGGAAGTGGGGCACCAGAGACCCGTGGAAGTGGGGTACCTTGCTGTAGCCCACAGACAACCCAGAACCCAGAGCCAGGACCCAGCCTTTATTGCACGAGCCGTCATGGACCACAGCCCTGTGCCACCAGGGCCCAGCTTACTCCCATCCACTTTGAGGGGGTGAGGGAGGGTTCCCCAGAGACATGCTCCCTCAGGCACCTGTCTGCACCTCCAGGGAACGCAGTCTGCATCTCCCTTGTCTCTAGTGCCTTTGGCGGAAACCTGTGCAGCCCTGTCCAGATCACCAGTGCAGATGCACTTGAATTCTGTTTGCTCACAAGTTTGTGGTCTTACTGGAGGTCCCTGACTGTGGAACAGGGCTAAGGCTACAGCTCCCCATCTAAGGGCCCTGACATACCCATCCTGGCTTCAGGCACGGTGCTCTTAAAGGAACCTGGTCACTCAGGATGGGACATGTCGGAGAGTCACCCCCCTATTCAGCAACTTGATGCCCCCCTTCAGAGGAAGCTGTGTGTGAACCCCATAGCAGGACTTCCCTGACCCCACAGAGAGCAGAAAAACATATCCCTGTTGTTAAAGACAAGCTCAAAGCATGGCTTTCTCAAGTCCCAGGGCAAAACCACCCAAAGAATGACGAAGATTCATTCTTAATGGGGTGGACCAGGGCCAGGCATGGATGGGCTGTCAGGGCCCTGAGCACTCAAAAGACAGCAAGACCTTCCTACACTGAGATGCAGTGGCAGACCAGGGGATCATCCACATGACCTAGCAGAAGAGGAGGCAGTCGTGGAAGGGATAGGAGAAGCTGCCACTCAGCCTAACCTCATCATGGGTGTTCTGACAGTGCTCCTCACAATCCTCCCCCATGTTCAACACTGCTGACAGCATAGCAGGGCCCGAACATGTCCAGCCCCTCCTAAACCACCCAATCTATTGAGGGAGGTCTCCGAGGTCCAGTTAGCTTTGTCCTGAGAACTGAGGAAGCTCCCCCCATCACTGCTACTGCTGTTAGATCAAGCATATGTGAGGTTGCCATTACTTGGTGGTCTGGTAGGGAAGGGAGAAGACCCAGCTAGGGTTGGTACCCACATTATCTAGGTCTTGTTCACTGCTGAGTCCTTCCTTTAGTGACCAGTGAAAGCCTAATGCCTCCCAGATCAACCGAAAGGAATGGACTTGTGCTGAACTGTGTCCCCAAAGGTCACCTGTGAAATCCTAACCCAGTGCCTCTGGTGGAGACTAGGGCTGATGTTTCTATAGAAGTGATCAAGTGGATGATGGGAATACTTACACAAATGGCACATGGCAACACACACACACACACACACGTGCATGCATGCTCATAAGAAGATAAAAGCAGAGGCCACTGTTGACCAAGGACTAAGGGAGATGCTAGATTTCCACCCAGAGTCCCAGGAACCAGCTGTGCTACCACATTGACCTCTCAACATTTTGCCTCCCATACTCTGGGACTGTCAGCTCCTGCTGCTATGAGCCATGTCAGCCAGGATGCTAACATGATGCCCCTAGGGCAGCTTCCGGCCCAGCCTACTGTCACCTGAAGCTGACACCAGCCTGCCAGGGCCCCTGCTGTCCCTGTTGGACTGCACACGACAGAGTGGGCATGCATGCAAGAAAAGAGAATGTAGACTCTGCTCCCAAGCAACAGGGTTCTTTTAACTTTGCCCCAGGGCAGCCAGTAGGTGTGGCCTACTCACCTGGTGAATGTGACCCAGGGCCAGGCTGGGCTCTTGGCCCCCATTTTTCTTCCTGTCCTTAGAAGGGACTGTGAGGGCCGAGGATCCAGACCCCACCTGACCTTCACTGCCAGGAGATGAACTCAGCATATTCTTGGCTGGCCCCCAGCACAAGTGACAAGAAGCCAGTGATATATGGCACCTTGAAGCCTATCGAGACTCTTCTGCCTGTTCTGGAGGGCGGGTCAGAGGCAGTGTTTCTCGTGTGGGAAGAAATTGGTGACCTGGGTGGAGTCTGCAGAGCCACTCAGTCACCTATACAACCTAGGCCTGGATACCACTTTGCAAGTTGACCCCGCTAAGATGCCGACTTCATCGAAAAAAATAACTGAACGCCCCTCTCCCCCAAGACCACGAGAACTGCCTTGATCAGCCCCCCGAGAACTGTGTGGGAATAGAGAGAGGAAGAACTGGGGGCTCTAGATATGGAATCCAAGACTTGTTTGTCTTTTGCTGTGTCCTCTGCTGAAGCAAAGGACCCTGCCCACATGGCCACATTCCCAGGGGCACAGAGTATGGTTATTGACGTGAGCATGAGCCGGACTAGTGATGCTCTTTGAAGGAAGTGGATCTGCTCACCCTCGTTTATGAGGAACCAAAGCTCCAAAGTCTTGCTGGGACCTGGATAGAGGGCTCACCAAGAGCACTGGAGTTTGCTTCCCAGCACCCACACCAGCATCCACACCAGGCAGCTCACACCAGGCAGCCCATACCAGCACTCACACCAGCACCCACACCAGACAGCTCACAGTCACCTGTAACTCCAGTTCCTCTTTTGTTGTCCTCATGCACACGCATGCACACACATCTACACACAGACATGCAGAAAGATGGAATCTTTCTAAAAAAAAAAAAAAACTTGCCCAAAGGATTGAGGAGATGGCTCAGCTGGTGTGTCAGCAGGAGGGTCTTGAGTTCAAGCCTCAAAATCCATGTTTTAAAAAAAGAAAGAAAGAAAAAGAGCTGGGTGGTGTTGATGCACGCCTTTAATCCCAGCACTTGGGAGGCAGAGGCAGGTGGATCTCTGTGAGTTTGAGGCCAGCCTGGTCTACAGAGCGAGTTCTAGGGCAGCTAGACAGATAGAGACATTACACAGAGAAACCCTGTCTCAAAAAAAAAAAAAAAAAAAGAATGAACATGGTACAACACCCCAAGTCCCCAGTGCTGGTGATGCATGGTCAGATAGCTTTGGGACTTACCGGCCACCGGTCTATCCAAATAGGTGAGCCCAGACCAGTAAGAGACTCTCAGTAGATATGGGTGGTTGAGCTCTGGCCTCCATGTATACACATGTGATTGTACTCATGCATACAGTGTGTGTGTGTGTGTGTGTGTGAGAGAGAGAGAGAGAGAGAGAGAGAGAGAGAGAGAGAGAGAGAGAGAGCACCTGAGATCTGCCTAGGCTGCAGAGATCCTAGGAAGCGTTGAGTTAGAGCCTAGACTGTAAGCCAGAGCCAACGTTCCCTGAAGCCAGCCCATCCTGACAGTTATGTTCTGTTAGCAGCAGCAGCCTGAACCTCACCCTCATCCCCCAGGTTCTGTGACCTTAGATCCTCATGCCTGGCTTGGAGTTGCGTGCACAGTTGGGTATCACAGAATCCTGGGCAGGATGACATCTGGAAACTTCTACACCCGTGTCCTAAGGGTGCCCTTTGTGTGGCACCCAACCCCAGCACCAGTGCAGGACCCTCCTCTCCAGGCATAGTCTTAACTTCCTTCCTAATACCCACATTTCGCACTGGCCCCCAAATGACCTGGTATCCACCCCTCGGAGACCCTGCCCTGTCCCTTTTTTCTCTCAGGGTGCCTCCATCTCTTCTGGATTTTCCTAACCCTTCCATCACTCTCTCTCCTCGGTGAGGAAGTGGGCAACCGCCTTTAGACCCGTTACTCCTTTTAGTGACCACAGACGCCAGCTCTTTCTGAAGGACGGGGAAGGCCAAGGGAGGCCACCTTTCACGGTCTGCAGTAAGGAGAAAGCCCCCTGAACACAGCCAACTTCCTCTCCTGTCATTTCAGGCCTGAGATTCAAGACCTGGACAGCAACCCCCCGTGTCCAGGCTCAGCCAGTGCCAAACCTGAGGACGTAGAGGAGGAGGAAGAGGAGGAGCTGGAGGAAGAGGATGATGACAGCTTGGCCGGGAAGTCACAGGAGGACACAGTGTCCCCCACACCTGAGCCCCAAGGAGTCTATGAGGACGAGGAGGATGAGGAACCACCCAACTCCCTAACCATGGGCTTCGACCATACCCGAAGGTGGGAGAGGCCAAGTGGCAGGGATCAGGCTGGGCGGGAGGACCTGGATACAAGGCCACATTAAGGAGACACCTCCAACCTGGTCTTACCTCTGTCTGGCAGGCGCTGCCACCACAAGGCTTTGGAGCTAGGGCTGAGGTGATGCTAGCCAGAGTCCAGGGCACTGGGGGAAGGAAGGGGACAGTGTGCTCTGCTGGCCCTGACTCAGGAGTCCTCAGCTCTGCTGTGCAGTTGTCCATTATCCCATCCACCTGGGGCAGCAGGGTCCAGCCTCCGCTAGGCTGTGGCCCAGCACCCATGGTTTTAGACACTGTGCAGGCCAGAGCCTTGTCCCCATGTCCTAACTGTTCAGTTACTTCAGCAATGGGTGACGCTGCCAGCATTTGAGATGCCCTGGGCTGGCCCTCTGGAGCCAGCATTTCTTCCCCAGTCTCTTGGTCCTGGGGGTGGGTAGGGCAGCCAGGACCACTCCAAAGCTGCCCAGAGCCTCTGAACATTAAAGCTTCCTTCCCACCCTTTATCCTGAAGACCAGATTGCCTGCTGCCTGGGATATGTGTGCACGCACTCACCCTTCCTGCTCTCTGCCTATTTGCTCTCCCACATCTGTGTGGCTTCCCATCTGGGTGTCTGTGTGTCGACGTGTCTGTCTCCTTGTGCATGTGGCTCGCGGAAACCTGTGCCATGCATGCAGGCATGGGGACCAGCCATGAGGCACTAGAGAGAGGCCACCAGTGGCCAAAGAGCTGACCCCAGGCCCCTCTCCCTGGTCCTTGGTGCAGGTGTGTTGAGGAGCGAGGAGGCGGTGTGTTAGCTTTGGAGCCGACGCCAACCTTTGGGAAGGGGCTGGATCTCCGCAGAGCAGCTGAGGAAGCATTTGAAGTTAAGGATGTGCTTAATTCCACCTTAGATTCTGAGGCTTTAAAACAAACCCTGTACAGGCAGGCTAAGAACCAGGTAGGTACCCAGCAGAGCCCTCGTCCGTCCTCACACCTCCTCTTGGCTTAGACAGTAAGCGGCCACCACGCCTCCTTAACCAAGGATGTCTGAGCTCTTCTGGCTATAGCTATGCTATGCCTGGAGGACGTTCAGATCCACAGCCCCCATGCCCACTGCATTGTCTAAAGAGAGAACCCAATAGCTGTAAGTCCCCAGCACCCTGGTAGAGCAGGTGGGCTGAGGGGTCAAAGACAGATAACCATGAGCCAGCTCTTGGGTCATGAGTGAGGGCCACTTTCCCAATTTCCCCATCCTGTCTCCAGTGGGAGCAGCTGCCTGGCTCTTCTTCCCTCTGAACCAGGATGAGTGGCTGTCACCCATCAGTTGATCACCGCTTCAAAGATGGAGCTAAAACAGGGTACCTGAGGGTACAGGCTTATCCAGGGCACTTTCTGTGTTCACATATCAGGGACAGTGGTCATGGGACACTGCACCCCATTATTTGGACATCAGAAGGGGCTTGGCTCTCATTCTACTCTCTGCAGCCTCCCCAGCACCACCTCAAGATTTTCACCCCAATTCGTCTGTGTGTCTGTCTTCGTCTATTAACTAATTCTGTCTAGCGTTTGCTCAAGGATAGAGAGGAGCCATATTGGGCTTTCCTAGTACACACCTGTAACCATAATCTACACTCCACACAGCCCCCAACCCTGGTACATCCTGCCCTGTCCCAGGACATGAGGCAGAAGGATGACCCCGTGATTGTCTGAGGCCAGCAAACACAGCCCATTACCTTATAATTGCATCAGCTCAGAGACACTTCAAAAAGGAGCCCACCACAATCATTCAGAGTCCCCCAGGGTTCTTGCCAGTAAGCAAAGGTATTCCCACTGGCACAGAATGAAAAATAACTCTTGCCAATCCCCAGGATGTTTTCAGAGCAGACACCGATTGTTAGGTTTTTGTCAGTCACTAGGCAGAGAAACGGGGCTTGGAGGGAGGTGGGAATGCAATTTTAGGGGAGCACCCCAAGAGTTCAAGGATCCTAGGGGACACGGAGGCCCCTAGAGGGGACTCCTGTGTCCTGCTGTCACCCTGGGCAGGAGAGGCGCCCCCTGCTCTCATATACTCCTGTCTCTCTCTCCCAAACTGGAGAGTCTGGGCCTCTGTAGTGCTTTGTTTTCCTTTTTCCTTCTAGACTGGGTGGGAGCAGGGGTGGAGGTGGGGATCAGACAGGCAAGGCTCGGGTCTACCTGCCTGGAATGCCCCTCACCTGTCCTCCGTGTGCTACCCTTTCCCCCACCAGGCGTATGCAATGATGCTGTCCCTCTCTGAGGACACTCCTCTCCACGTCCCTTCCCAGAGCTCACTGGATGCTTGGTTAAACATCACGGGAGCCTCGTCAGAGTCTGGAGCCTTTAACCCCATCAACCACCTCTGAGGTCCTGGAGGCCCCAGGGCCGGAATCCAAAGCCAGGGTCCCAGCTGTGGGAGATGGAGAAGGGGCCGGGGGGAAGCGCCTTGACACCTTCGATTTGCCTCACCTCCGCTTCCAGCCCCACCCACCGTGGCTCAAGTCCAGCTTCTCCAATGAAACTCAGAACCTGAAGGTCCCTCGAGTATCCGTTGACCTTCACCACCTCTCAGAACTGGCCTCAAGGACACGGTCTGCAGTGGTGCAGTGCCCGGCGGCCGCCCAGGAGCCACTCATGGGGAGCCGTCTGTCGGATAACTAGTAGGCAGGGGTGGGATCTCTATCCCAATAGGAGCCAATTGGCCGCACCTGGGCAGCCACATGGTATGAAGGAGGGGAACGGAAACAAGTGGATATGTGCTACGGAGAGAGACCTCGCAAATGATTTTTATAATGAAAATTACATGAATAACCCTTTTGGTAATCTTATTGACTATAGAGTCTATTTAAGCATGTGGGTTTTAAAAAATAGACAGTATTTTTTAAAAATCAAAAATGACTTGCAAAATGTTTTTTAAAAGTAATTTTGCATTGCTTTGAAATTTCAGCTTATTGGCAAACCCACACCTGCCAGGACATCGAGCTCTGCTCGGGTGTGCCCTTTATAATGTAGATAATGGAGAATTTTCTATCCCTAACCCTGTTTGTACAAGCCAAGGTGATTCTGGGTGTCCCCGATGCAGGATAGAGGGCGTGGAGCCATCTGAATAGCATGCTGACTACACAGGAATTCTTGGTCATGGTGCCTGCCTGCAGGCTTGTGGAGGCCAAGTCAGGGAGGTTGTCTTGCCCCATGCGACCTGCAGAGGAATCCACTGGTCCCCACCCAAGACCCCCCAATTGTATGGGGAGGTCGGGAGCTGGTGGCTGAGGTCTTCCATGCTGGACACCTAATGGTTTCTCCCCTCCAACAGCCCCAGCGCTGGCCCTGACCGCCGGTCTTCTGAAGCCAGGGCTCTGGGCCGTATCTAGGCCTTCAGCCTTCCACTCTTCCCAACCCTGGCGGCCTGATGTCCTCCCCGTGGCCGCTGAGCGTGGGAACCTACCCGTCTGCTCCACCACGCCGGGACGCCGAGCACTACCTGTGCCTAAGACTCCAGATCAACCGTATAGCCGCCACTTCTGCTCTCTGTGTGGGTTCCTGGTGAGAGGTGGTCAGGAACAAAAGGAGGATCCAGGGGACCTGCCACGCACAGAGCAGAGACAGCACAGCCCCCGGGACCAGATGCCTCGCTCCCTTGGGACAGTCATGATTGTCTAATTCTCTGCTTGGATGGGCTTTAAGTTATTCCCATAGGGGCCAACTTCAAATAATTTCTTTCTCTGATGGAATTTACCTTAATCTGTATATAACTTGTAATTTTTTTTCTAATTCATTTCTTTCCTTATTTTATTTCTTCCTTAACAGTATTTTTGGCATTGGACAACTTATTCTGAAGAAATCATGTCAATTTAAGTATGTAGTGAAGGACCAAAACCGTGTGATAAGGTTGTGTGCTGTGTGATCGGTAACCAGGGAGTGGGGCAGTTGTTAATGTGCCAAATACCCTGTGTCCCTCCCTTGAGGAGTCCTGTGGTCACCGCTGCCCATTTACCAGACAATCATATGATTTTGTTAAATTTGAGTTTTTAAAACAAGTGTTCTATTTATTTTATTATTTTGAAGAAAGAACAAAAAAATTGAGTATCCCAACAAGAAAAGAAGGGGGAAATCCTTCCTGGATTGCCCTTTTAAAAAAAATGAGAGGTAGTGTCAGTGTCAACAGCCATGTGCAAGCATGTGCAAGCGTGTCACACATGGGCATGTCCGTGTCAACAGCTGTGTGCAAGCGTGTGCAAGCGTGTCACACATGGGCAGGTCAGTGTCAACAGCCGTATGCAAGCGTGTGCAAGCATGTTACACATGGGCATGTCAGTGTCAACAGCCGTGTGCAAGCGTGTCACACATGGGCATGCCAGTGGGTCTCTCTGGGAGCAGCGTGAACATCAAGCAGGTGTGTTCCATGAATGTGGTGGCTGTTCTGGGGCCAAGACAATCATCTCTGCTGCTGCTGAGTGGTCCAGGCTGTGCTGGAGACTCGAGGGTGACATCCCTGGAAACACCATGACCCTGCAGGTTCCGGCAAATCCCAGTGATGTAAGACAGAACAGTCCAGCGTGTGTACCCAGAAGCACATTCACGTGTGCAGAGCAGGGCAGCGGGGACCCTCTTCTGAGGAACGTGCCATAGTCAGGGTTGTAGGGATTTATGGGCCCAGCCGCTCACACTTCTCACAGGTTCACGACATCCTCTCAGTGAAGGTCTAGGCCTCGGCTCAGGAGTTCCGGTTTCCTCCAGGTGGAAGCTAGACAGGACCCCTGTATAAGTTCAACCTCAGACATACATGTCCCACTTGTGTAAACCCCAAATTATATGCTTTCTTCTGAGAAAGAGTAAGACGTGTGCTTTTTCTTTTTTCTGCGATGTGACTTTCTATCTCCAAAGTGGGACGTCTGTCTGGATAGAGACATCTGTGACCCTTTTTCTCCAGCAGCAGAGCAGCTAAAGGCTCTCCTTTTTGTCCTCTTTGGCGCTCCCAGTTCCGTCCTCCTCTGTTAGCCTCTCGTTCCTTCTCAAGAGTCCCAGTTGTGCTGTCCTGTGCTTTGCCCACTCGCCCCCTGCCCCCAAGAGGCAACGATGGCAAAGCCCAGATTCTCCTGAGCAGTCAACCCTTGGGCCCAGCCCTGGCTTTGCTCTTCCCCCCTGACAAAAACAGCACTGATCCCAAATTTATCTGCATCCACACTGCATGGCCCCCAGACAGTGAGTTCTGCCTACCTGACATCTCTGCACTCTTGTGGTGCCCAGCTGACTCGAGCCAAGCGTCAGGCACAGAAGATTCTCTCAGGGTCATGGAGCTGGACCAGGTGTGAGTTCCAGGATCCTGACTGCCAGGATCCAGACCATGCCTGTTGCCGTGTGCATGGAATGGCAGGACGCGTGTCCAGCCAGGACTGTTTCCCTGATGTTGTCCTTATGATTGTTGGTACTTGCCTCCCAAAATAGAAATTCATGAGGAGGCCTCCTAGCCTGTACTCCCTCCAGCCCCAGACAAGGCCCCATTCTTCCCCTTTGACAGCTGCCTTTTTTAGGAAGATCAGGTAGGAAAGATGGGGCTTCACCATCCTGCAGGCAAGGTGGATCCTGCATGCATGAGACAACCCAGGGCATCCCTGTGCCAAACCAGCGGCGGGTAAGCACAGCGTGGCTGAGCCTGCCCAGTCTGAGAAGGGCCCTACTTTCTAAGACCAGGAGAGCATGTGATCCCCAGACCCTGACTGACCTAACCCCTCTGCCTCTCAAAGCTCAGACCCACAGGGCCGTTGGCTTCCTCTGCCACCTCTGCTTCCTCAGTGAGTGTGTGAACACTTGCTTAAATACATATCACGTGTTTTAGACTCGAAGCGCAAAGCACTGGATTGTGGTCCCTAGTCCGTTCCCCCCTCCCCCTTCTCCCCGCCCAAGTGACTGAAACCTACTGAACTTTCACTGTGCTGTTCCAAGTAGGGAAGAGGAGGCCCCCTGTGCTGCTGCTGGGACAGGAAGGTGGGGAGTCTGTGATGGACGGTACCCCCTCTTGCCAGTGGACACTGGGACACTCCTGTCCACAGAGACCAGCCGGGTATCCAAAGCCATGAAAATTGTCTCTGTAGCCCTTGAGCGATACTGTGACGAGATGTTCTTGCGTGATTCCCAGAGAAGTTCCTCTCTCGCCATTCCCGTCACGTGTTTGTCTAATTCCTTTCTGTCGCCAGTTCAAACCACCACTCCCAGGAGGGAAAAGGTTGAGTCCAGAAAGGCAGCTTGAATTTCTAGATGTGCGATTCACTTGCAGAGCGGAGGAAGCTGGGGATTTTCTTCCCTGCCTCCTGTGGCACCGCTACTCCCTCCAGCATGGGGGACGTGGGGCCCTGGTGTCAGAATACTTAACTTAAAGCCTGTGCGTGTGCGTGCGTGTGTGGGTATGTGTGGTGTGTGTGTGCGCGTGCATGGGTGTGGTATGTATGGATTTTGAACCAATAGTATATAAATATAAATATAAATATATATATATATCCCTGACACCTGTGAGAATCTCGAAACTGTGCGAGTGTTGCCATTGTCACATTCAGATCCGACTCAATTTGTTTCTGTTTCTGTTTTGTTTTGTTTTTCCTTTTAGAACTATATAGTGTTGAGAAAGAAATAAAATGCAAATGTCTGGTTTTCATATAATGTTAAAGAGTTAAAAACCATGGAGGAGGAGGCTGGGGTCTATCCTCGTCGCCTTCCTTTGTAAATTGCTGTTGTGTTAATAAGCTGTGCATGGCTCGTGTTTAGCGGTCATTATTGTGTCTGTTTGTGAGATTTTTATTACGAGGAAAATCCCGTAGATGCACTTACTGAATATGTGGTTAGGGTCTGAGTCAAGGCCAGGAGGCCCGAAACGCCCATGAAAACGGACCGCCGTTCCTGATGACTATGGAGATCGCCGTGGGAGAATCATGCGTTGAGGAGACGCGACGTAGAGAATAGTCGAAAGTGATTTTTTGCAGATCTCATTCTGAGGCTTGTGGCAAAGACAAATGTACTTGTGTAGAGATTTCTGTAAGGTAAAAGCCAGGAGAGGCTGGCTTTGAGGTCAATGCTGTAGAATAGGATGACTGGATACCAAATGTAATCTTTCCAATGCTACAATGAATTTATACATGAGATTGATATGCAATAAATCTGTGTGTTTTTCTAAGGCTCGTTGAAAGCTTCATTAAGAGAAAACCTGGTCTCTGGGATAGGAGGGGTGCCCTCCCCCAAGTCTAGACTGGCAGGGTCTGGGTTCTAGGCCAAACCACCCTCTCTGCTTGAGCGGGCACCCTGGCAGTGCCCGCTTACTTGCCTTGCACCCAGGTAGATGAACAGAGTTGAGCGAAGACCCTAGGGCTACTGGGGAGAGAGTGGGCTTGGCCTCCCCCAGAGTGCCTCTGCTGTGGAGGCCCAGGAATGTCCTGCTGTCTGCAGTTCTTCCCTCCAGCGTCCCATCCCCAACTTGACTCTGCTCTGGTGGAGAAGCCTACAGTGAATAAACTAAAGAGTGCCCAGTGTCTAAGCCTAGGCGTCTAAGTGCAGCTCCGGGCACTGCCCTGTGCTGCCTCTTAAGGCAGAGGCTAGCTCACTTCTTAGGTAAACAATCTTGCCTCCCACTGCCCATCTCTGTCCAGGGTCCCTGATTCTCTCCTTGGCTCTTCTTTACCGCCTCCTCTTGCCCCAGCTGAGTTATCCATTCTCTTCTTTCTTCCACAGGAGGTATGGCTAGTTTAGGGCAGTGGTGCCAAGCAGTAGATCAGTTTGCTGCACAACGGAGGTTGCAAGCCTGCCTTCCTGCAGCTACCAGGGATGTCCTCTTAGGAGGACTTGTCTGGGGCTGCCGGGGGAGCGCAGAGGAAAAAATGGCTTGCCACAAAGCCCAATGACCTGAGTTTGGTCCCTGAGCATCCTCAGAGTAGCAAGAAAGAACTGATCCCCTCAAGTTTTCTCTATATGTATATGTGGATGGAGGAATTAATGGAATGTAGGGGGTAAGTGAATAGATGGTGGATGCAGGGATTGAATGGACAGAAAGAGAGGGGCTGTAGGTGGAGAAGTGGATGGGTGATGGACGGAGGAGCGGAATAATGGGTGGATGGATAGGTGGAGGAATGGTGGGCGGAGGATTTGCTCTTTGATCCATCACTGATCCTGGGGCTTCTGGACCTCCAAAAGCTCCCCAGGGCCAGGACAAGTTCTGACCAACGTCATCAGAAGTAGGGCTCTGAGGCTCCCTAATCCACAGTTCCTGTAACTGCCAGAAGAGAAGAAATGGAAGTTGATCTTGGCATGAGATCTCAGGCCCAGATCTGGGGTGCCAAGCCCTTGTGTTTTCTTAATGCCATCAGGTCGAGCGCGGGGGTGGGGGTGTGCAGCGCTAAATGTCTCAGGTTGTTTTCCTTCCCACCATGACTGACGAAGTGCCACTGAGATCTTAAGCCTGGATGGTCAGCTTTGGGGCTCATGCAGGGGTCTGAGGCCCAGGGTGACTTGAAAGGTTCTGCTTTGGGAAGTATATTTCCATCCTCCGCCCTCACTGAAGGCCACATTCCCAAAAGAGGTTCTCTCAAATGGCATGACAGTGACCCACAGAGCCCCTATAATGGTGCTTCCCAGAGCTCACCACACTGGGGCTCCAGTGGAAGGAAAACGATCCCGTTTTGTCCAACCTGGCAGCCTCGCTCCTCATTAGCCCCGGAGAGAGAGGAAAACTCAGTGGAATCGGAGAGGGGCCGATAATGGCTGTATTGTTGGGAGAACCCCAGAGGGAAAGGGAACAGCGGCCGACAGGAGATTGCTGACAAGTGGACTTTGTCTTCCAGCAGCCCGGTCCCCACATAAAAGACTGAGGAAAAAGGCCCCATTTTGGAAAAGGGGGGATGGGTGTATTAAGAGGAGAAAAAAAATGTGTCAAAGAAGAATCTGTTTTCTGGGAAGAGAGGGGCTTTTCATTGCCATTCAGCTTTCCTCGGGGCCAAGGAGCTGCTGGCCATTTGCAGGGAAACTATTTTAGGGAGCGCTCAACCTTATTCCCCATGCAGCCAAAGTCTTCCGCAGCACAAGCTGTGTCGTGGGGCACAACATCCAGGACCAGGGCTGTGTGTTTTCTGCAGTCGAGAAGTGCCTGCTGTGTGGGTTGTCCAGGGGACTCTGGGACATGAGGGGGGTCCTCAGTCATGAGCTGAGACTGCAGCCCTACTGGAGAAAAGCACATGTCTCCCTGCCAGGGTGGACAAGGCCATTCCACAGCTCCATCCACTCCAAAGGCAACGTGTAGAGGAGAAAGTGTGGTGGGGTCTAGAACCAGATTTCACTAAATGGAGGGTGGGGGCCGCCCTACAGAGAGGCTGGAGCCCCCATGACCTGACAGAGAGTAGACACGGGGTGGGGAGGTTGCTCCTGAATTCCTAACCCCATCAGGAGCACAGGAGGTTACAGAAAAACGGAGAGGTGGCTGAGTGGGATCAAGGATCAGGCTTAGTAATGTGGTGCAATCCTAATCTATCAGTTAAAGCTCCACAGCGCAGTGTGCCGGGTGTGCACGACCCCAAGCTCTGCAGTACTGGGTGTGCAAGACCCAAAGCTCCGCAGCACTGGGTGTGCAAGACCCAAAGCTCTTCAGTACTGGGTGTGCAAGACCCAAAGCTCCACAGTGCAGTGTGCCAGGTGTGCACAACCCCAAGCTCTGCAGTACTGGGTGTGCAAGACCCCA